ACATACATACACACAAGACATACATACTACTGTGACAGACATTGCTGGTGGTAATGACGAGTACATACATACACACAAGACATACATACTACTGTGACAGACATTGCTGGTGGTAATAACGAGTACATACATACACACTACTGTGACAGACATTGCTGGTGGTAATGACGAGTACATACATACACACAAGACATACATACATCTGTGACAGACATTGCTGGTGGTAATAACGAGTACATACACACAAGACATACATACTAACGTGACAAACATTGCTGGTGGTAATGACGATTACATACATACTACTGTGACAGACATTGCTGGTGATAATATATATATATATTTACAGTATATATATACTGTAATATATATTTACAGTATATATATTAACAGTTGTAAGCTACCCCCAGTGTATATATTACAGTATATATATTACCAGTATATATATTAACAGTATATATATTACAGTATATATATTAACAGTATATATATTACCAGTATATAATTACAGTATATATATTAACAGTATATATATTAACAGTATATATATAAACAGTATATAAATTACAGTATATATATATTAACAGTATATATATTAACAGTTGTAAGCTACCCCAGTGTAAATATTAACAGTATATATATTACAGTATATATATTAACAGTATATATATTACCAGTATATAATTACAGTATATATATTAACAGTATATATATTAACAGTATATATATAAACAGTATATAAATTACAGTATATATATATTAACAGTATATATATTAACAGTTGTAAGCTACCCCAGTATATATATTACAGTATATATATTACAGTATATTTATTAATAGTTGTAAGCTACCCCCAGTATATATATTAACAGTATATATATTACAGTATTACAGTATATATATTAATAGTTGTAAGCTACCCCAGTATATATATTACAGTATATATATTAACAGTATATATATTAACAGTTGTAAGCTACCCCAGTATATATATTAACAGTATATATATTACAGTATATATATTAACAGTTGTAAGCTACCTCCAGTGTATATATTAACAGTATATATATTACAGTATATATTACAGTATTACAGTATATATATTAACAGTATATATATTAACAGTTGTAAGCTACCACCAGTGTATATATTACAGTATATATATATTACAGTATATATATTAACAGTTGTAAGCTACCTCCAGTATATATATTAACAGTATATATATAACAGTTGTAAGCTATCCCCAGTATATATATTACAGGATATATATATAACAGTTGTATGCTACCTCCATTATATATATTAACAGTATATATACAACAGTTGTAAGCTACCCCCAGTATATATATTAACAGTATATATACTGGAGGTAGCTTACAACTGTAAATATATATACTGTAATATATATATTAACAGTTGTAAGCTACCCCCAGTATATATATTACAGTATATATATATTAACAGTTGTAAGCTATCCCCAGTATATATATTACAGTATATATATATAACAGTTGTATGCTACCTCCAGTATATATATTAACAGTATATATATAACAGTTGTAAGCTACCCCCAGTATATATATTACAGTATATATATTAACACTTGTTGTAAGCTACCCCAGTATATATATATTAACAGTATATATATTACAGTATATATATAACAGTTGTAAGCTACCTCCAGTATATTTATTACAGTATATATATAACAGTTGTAAGCTACAACCAGTATATATATTACGGTATATATATTAACACTAGTTGTAAGCTACCCCAGTATATATATGAACAGTATATATATTACAGTATATATATTAACAGTATATATATTAACAGTTGTAAGCTACCCCAGTATATATATTAACAGTATATATATTAACAGTATATATATTAACAGTATATATATTAACAGTTGTAAGCTACCCCCAGTGTATATATTACAGTATATATATTAACAGTTGTAAGCTACCCCAGTATATATATTAACAGTATATATATTAACAGTTTTAAGCTACCTCCAGTGTATATATTACAGTATATATATTAACACTAGTTGTAAGCTACCACCAGTATATATATTAGCAGTATATATATTAACAGTTGTAAGCTACCCCCAGTATATATATTAACAGTTGTAAGCTACCTTCAGTGTATATATAACAGTATATATATAACAGTATGTATATTAACAGTTGTAAGCTACCCCCAGTATATATATTACAGTATATATATTACATTATATATATTAACACTAGTTGTAAGCTAAGCTACCCCCAGTATATAAATTAACAGTATATATATTAACAGTTGTAAGCTACCCCCAGTATATAAATTAACAGTTGTAAGGTAGTAAGCTACCCCAGTATATATATTAAGAGTTGTCAGCTACCCCCCCCCCATATATTAACAGTTGGAAGCTACCTCCAGTGTATATATAACTGTATATATATTACAGTATATATATTACATTATGTATATTAACACTAGTTGTAAGCTACGCTACCCCCAGTATAGGTATTAACAGTATATACCTTAACAGTTGTAAGCTCCCCCCAGTATATATATAAACAGTTGTAAGCTACCACCAGTATATATATTAACAGCTGTAAGCTACCCCCAGTATATATATTAACAGTATATATATTAACAGTATTTATATTAACAGTATATACATTAACAGTTGTAAGCTACCCCCAGTATATACATTAACAGTTGTAAGCTACCCCCAGTATATATATTAACAGTTGTCAGCTACCCCCAGTATATATATTAACAGTTGTAAGCTACCTCCAGTGTATATATAACAGTATATATATTACAGTATATATATAACAGTTGTAAGCTACCCCCAGTATATATATTGCAGTATGTATATTAACAGTTGTAAGCTACCCCCAGTATATATATTACATTATGTATATTAACAGTTGTAAGCTACCCCCAGTATATATATTACAGTATATATATATTAACAGTTGGAAGGTACCCCCAGTATATATATTACAGTATGTATATCAACAGTTGTAAGCTACCCAGTATATATATTACAGTATATATATATTAACAGTTGGAAGGTACCCCCAGTATATATATTACAGTATGTATATTAACAGTTTTAAGCTACCCCCAGTATATATATTACAGTATATATATTAACAGTTGTAAGGTACCCCCAGTATTCTATATATTAACAGTATATATATAACAGTTGTAAGCTACCCCCAGTATATATATTACATTATGTATATTAACAGTTGTAAGCTACCCCCAGTATATATATATTACAGTATGTATATTAACAGTTGTAAGATACCCCCAGTATATATATTACAGTATGTATATTAACAGTTGTAAGCTACCCCCAGTATATATATTACAATATATATATTAACAGTTGTAAGCTACCCCCAGTGTATATATAACAGTATATATATTACAGTATGTATATTAACAGTTGTAAGCTACCTCCAGTATATATATTACAGTATATATATATTAACAGTTGTAAGGTACCCCCAGTATATATATTAACAGTTGTAAGCTACCCCCAGTATATATATTAACAGTATATATATTACAGTATATATATAACAGTATATATATAACAGTTGTAAGCTACCCCCAGTATATATATTACAGTATATATATTAACAGTTGTAAGCTACCACCAGTGTATATATTACAGTATATATATAACAGTTGTAAGCTACCTCCAGTATATATATTACAGTATATATATTACAGTGTGTATATAACAGTTGTAAGCTACCTCCAGTGTATACGTTACAGTATATATATTACAGTATATATATAACAGTATATATATTAACAGTTGTAAGCTACCTCCAGTGTATACATTACAGTATATATATTACAGTATATATATAACAGTATATATATTAACAGTTGTAAGCTACCTCCAGTGTATACATTACAGTATATATATATTACAGTATATATATAACAGTATATATGTAACTGTTGTAAGCTACCTCCAGTGTAGAGACAAGGTACTTTTTGTACATCTCCAGGACCTCCTTCTCATCAAACTCCATGGTGACATTAAGGGCCTTCACTCCCGACTGTTCCACACTCTCCTTCATCAGCTGTACAAATGGCATCAGTTTCTTTTTGTATTTTTGCAGGCTAGTCTCACTGTTAAGGGTTGTTGCTATTACCTTATTGTCAGGGAAACCACTGTGTTTCTATAAAACAAAAAGGTTACAAGATTATCACAGAATTTTATGTCTGACTTGCCCCACTTTAACCATCAACTAAAATTACTGTAAGTTGTTGTTTTGGAGCACTTATTGGTGTGTCGGGGAAGAAGCAGAAGAATAAAATAATAGCAACAATCTTCATAATAATGCAAATGATAAGATTTGTGTGAAAGTTATTTTACAGTAATAACTAGAACTGTAAGCCAAAGGCTAACTAAGACAAAGCATTGCAAAGCAATCCATAGACTCCCACCAGTAATGATTTCTTTGTTCACTGAGCTGTACACTTATTTAAGTATACAGGTCACTGACATACTTCCTGTACTCCTTCCCAATGCCAAAACATACTTGCAAACTAAATGTTGTTAGCCCAGATGAACCAGTTTGCTGAAATTGTCCTAGAAGTTAAGGAAGAGTTGTCAGGACAAAGACTATAACAAAGGACCATAACTCCTTAAAAAGGGTCGAAATGATTTTTTTTTACTACCTGATGCAAAACATGAGGGTGTTATTACCAAATCGGTAAACTTTCATTGAAATCGGCCCAGTAGTTAAGAAGGCAGACAAAAGGTTTTTTTCAACAAAGGGCCATATGCTTGGATGCACAATGTCAGGGGCAGTTACCATATCTGTAAACTTTCTTTGAAATTGGCCCAGTAGATTAGGAGAAGTTGTCAGGACAAGGATTTTTCAACAAAGGGCCATAACTTCATAAAAGAGGGTTGAAAAAAAATACCTGGATGCACAACATCAGGGGGTGATATCATATCTGAAAACTTCTGTTGAAATTGGCCCCATAGTTTTGGAGGAGTTGTCTGGGCAATTTTTTTCCAACAAAGGGCCATTACTTCATAAACAAGAGATCCCAGAGGGATCTTGGCACCCACCTTTGTACCATCTTCATTAGTTCTTTGTCAGTTCGATCTTTTCTCTTCTTTCCTCTCAATCTGTTTGATCGAGTCATGTTAACAGTAAATGCAACTTGAGGTAACTTTTGATCTAAACTTAATACTGATGTGTATGAAAGCCAACCTTCAAAGTGAGTTTGTCATTTCACATATTTATTAGTACAGTACTTAATGTGAAAGAAATAGAATCAATCATTGCAATATGAGAAAGATCTTCTTTTAATACATTTTGTTTTTATGATCAGTCTCAAAATATAACATGCACAACGAGGGATCAAGGGAACCTATGTTTAAAGTTTGAGAAAGATCCCTCCCGTACTTCCCGAGAAATAGCGATAACAAACTTTCACTATCAAAATCCAAGATGGCTGCCTGTCTGCCACGTTGTTTATCTGATCAGTCTCAAATGTTGCCCTGCACAACTAAGGACCAAGGGGAACCTACATATAAAATTTGAGAAAGATCCCTCTAATGCTTCTTAAGAAATAGCGATAACAAACTTTCACTATCAAAATCCAAGATGGCTGCCTGTCGGCAATGTTGTTTATCCGATCAGTCTCAAAAGCTGCCCTGCACAACTAAGGACCAAGGGGAACCTACATATAAAATTTGAGAAAGATCCCTTTGATGCTTCTTGAGAAATAGCGATAACAAACTTTCAATATCAAAATCCAAGATGGCTGCCTGTCGGCCATGTTGTTTATCCGATCAGATTTCTTAAAGAATTGTTTAAGGACGGACCACGGACTCAGGGTGATTTGAATAGCCCATCATCAGATGATGGTAGGCTAAAAAGGGTCAGATTGAACAAATAATACCTGGATGCACAACATCAAGTGGTAGTTATCATATCTGAAACCTTTCGTTGAAATTGGCCATGTAGTTTTTGAGGAGTTGTCCAGACAAGGATTTTTCAACAATGGGCTATAACTTCGTAAAAAGGGTTGGAATGAAAAAATAATACCTGGATGCACAACTTCTGGTGGTAGTTATCATATCTGGAAAAATTTGTTGAAATTGGTCCATTTCTTTAGAAGAAGTTGTCCCGACAGGACAGATAAACAGACAGACAAGCTGATTCCAGTATATTACCCCTGACTTCGTTGTGGGGGTTATACTTATTTATTTTGTACAAAACAGTTAGCTTGTTAAGTGTCACATTACCTGTTAGCCAATCAATCCAGGTAGAGTTTAGTGTGAAAATCTTAGCAGTTCAGATGTATTCAGGCAGATGCTGTTTAATAGGACTGTTTATGTATTTAGCGATAAATGTGAGTACAGTTACTACATTTCTTATTGACGTTACTGACTCAATGTACGAGGTGTACTAATGTGCATTGTTAATGATGTCACAGTTGCACTGTCAACAAGAACAATAATATATCTACCTGCATGTTATTTGTTGATGTTTAAAACTATTATCAGTATCTAAAACTTATTATACTGCTATAAAATCTGAGTATTTATTTTACAGCAACATGACCATTAAACGTTGATTTATTGACGGTGTTCATTCTTACGATACTCTGACAGTTAACAGAATACATCTCAGGTCATTCGAGTGCTCCTACTCTATATACCTTGGTAAAGTCAAACAAACAGACAGTCAAGTATTTTGTGTGTATACATTTAAGTTGAAACTTTTAACTTTATCAAAGTTAAAATGAAAATAATGGAAAGTTTAAATATTTTTGTTACAATTTAAATATTTATAAAATAATTTAAGATCATATCCAGCATCCAAAGCAGGCACTGAGATGTACTGTAGTTGGTGTAGCAGTTTTTGAAAATCATAGTTAAACCTAAACAAGAGATCCTCTCTGGGATCCTGGCGGCTACCATTGCACCATCCTATAGCTAATAGGTTCTATGTAAGGTTGATCTGTTGAATGAAGATGTAGTGCACATTATGTATCTGCAATGTCAGTTTATCAGGTATAGGACTGTTGAGATATCTACAGTGTCAGTTTATCAGGTCCAGGACTGTTGAGATATCTACAGGGACAGTTTATCAGGTCTAGTACTGTTGAGATATCTTCAGTGTCAGTTTATGAGGTCTAGGCCTGTTGAGATATCTACAGTGACAGTTTATCAGGTCTAGGACTGTTGAGATATCTACAATGTCAGTTTGTCAGGTCTAGGACTGTTGATATATCTACAATGTCAGTTTATCAGGTCTAGGACTGTTGAGATATCTACAGTGACAGTTTATCAGGTCTAGGACTGTTCTGATATCTTCAGTGTCAGTTTATGAGGTCTAGGACTGTTGAGATATCTACAGTGACAGTTGATCAGGTCTAGGACTGTTCAGATATCTACAGTGTCAGTTTATCAGTATGTACAGTGTCAGTTTGTCAGGTCTAGGACTGTCTAGGACTGTTCAGATATAGTTTATCAGGTCTAGGACTGTTCAGGTATGTACAGTGTCAGTTTGTCAGGTCTAGGACAGTTGAGATATCTACAGTGTCAGTTTATCAGGTCTAGGACTGTTGAGATATCTTCAGTGTCAGTTTATCAGGTCTAGGACTGTTGAGATATCTACAATGTCAGTTTATCAGGTCTAGGACTGTTCAGATATCTTCAGTGTCAGTTTATCAGGTCTAGGACTGTTGAGATATCTACAATGTCAGTTTATCAGGTCTTGGACTGTTGAGGTATGTACAGTGTCAGTTTGTCAGGTCTAGGACTGTTGAGATATCTACAGTGTCAGTTTATCAGGTCTAGGACTGTTCAGATATCTTCAGTGTCAGTTTATCAGGTCTAGGACTGCTGGGGTATCTACAATGTCAGTTTATCAGGTCTAGGACTGTTGAGATATCTACAATGTCAGTTAATCAGGTCTAGGACTGTTGAGGTATCTACAATGTCAGTTTATCAGGTCTAGGACTGTTGAGATATCTTCAGTGTCAGTTTATCAGGTCTAGGACTGTTGAGAGATCTACAGTGTCAGTTTATCAGGTCTAGGACTGTTGAGATATCTACAGTGTCAGTTTATCAGGTCTATGACTGTTGAGATCTCTACAATGTCAGTTAATCAGGTCTAGGACAGTTGATATATCTACAGTGTCAGTTTATCAGGTCTAGGACTGTTGAGATACCCCATATAAACACAGGTCTAGGACTGTTGAGATATCTACAATGTCAGTTTATCAGGTCTAGGACTGTTGAGATATCTACAGTGTCAGTTTATCAGGTCTATGACTGTTGAGATATCTACAGTGTCAGTTAATCAGGTCTAGGACTGTTGAGATATCTGCAGTGTCAGTTTATCAGGTCTAGGACTGTTGAGATATCTACAGTGTCGGTTTATCAGGTCTAGGACTGTTGAGATATCTTCAGTGTCAGTTTATCAGGTCTAGGACTGTTGAGAAATCGAAAGTGTCAGTTAATCAGGTCTAGGACTGTTGAGATATCTGCAGTGTCATTTTATCAGGTCTAGGACTGTTGAGATATCTACAATGTCAGTTTATCAGGTCCAGATATCTACAGTGTCAGTTTATCAGGTCTAGGACTGTTGAGACATCTACAGTGTCAGTTTTACAGGCCTAGGACTGTTGCGATATCTACAGTGTCAGGTCTAGGACTGTTGAGATATCTACAACGTCAGTTTATCAGGTCTAGGACTGTTGAGATTCCACATATAAACACAGGTCTAGGACTGTTGAGATACCAGATATAAACACAGGTCTAGGACTGTTGAGATATCTACAACGTCAGTTTATCAGGTCTAGGACTGTTGAGATGTCTACAATGTCAGTTTATCAGGTCTAGGACTGTTGAGAAATCGAAAGTGTCAGTTAATCAGGTCTAGGACTGTTGAGATATCTACAGTGTCGGTTTATCAGGTCTAGGACTGTTGAGATATCTTCAGTGTCAGTTTATCAGGTCTAGGACTGTTGTGATATCTACAGTGTCAGTTAATCAGGTCTAGGACTGTTGCGATATCTGCAGTGTCAGTTTATCAGGTCTAGGACTGTTCTGATATCTTCAGTGTCAGTTTATGAGGTCTAGGACTGTTGAGATATCTACAGTGTCATGTTGAGATACCACATATAAACACAGGTCTAGGTTGAGATATCTACAGTGTCAGTTTATCAGGTCTAGGACTGTTGAGACATCTACAGTGTCAGTTTTACAGGCCTAGGACTGTTGAGGTATCTACAGTGTCAGGTCTAGGACTGTTGAGATATCTACAATGTCCGTTTATCAGGTCTAGGACTGTTGAGATATCTACAGTGTCAGTTTATCAGGTCTATGACTGTTGAGATATCTACAGTGTCAGTTTATCAGGTCTAGGACTGTTGTGATATCTACAGTGTCAGTTAATCAGGTCTAGGACTGTTGAGATATCTACAGTGTCAGTTTATCAGGTCTAGGACTGTTGAGAAATCTAAAGTGTCAGTTAATCAGGTCTAGGACTGTTGAGTTATCTACAGTGTCAGTTTATCAGGTCTAGGACTGTTGAGATACCATATATAAACACAGGTCTAGGACTGTTGAGATACCACATATAAACACAGGTCTAGGTTGAGATATCTACAGTGTCAGTTTATCAGGTCTAGGACTGTTTATATATCTACAGTGACAGTTTATCAGGTCTAGGACTGTTATGATATCTACAGTGTCAGTTTATCAGGTCTAGGGCTGTTGATATATCTACAGTGACAGTTTATCAGGTGTAGGACTGTTCTGATATCTACAGTGTCAGTTTATCAGGTATAGGACTGTTGAGATACCACATATAAACACAGGTCTAGGACTGTTGAGATACCACATATAAACACAGGTCTAGGACTGTTCTGATATCTACAGTGTCAGTTTATCAGGTCTAGGACTGTTGATATATCTACAGTGACAGTTTATCAGGTCTAGGACTGTTCTGATATCTACAGTGTCAGTTTATCAGGTCTAGGACTGTTGAGATATCTACAGTGTCAGTTTATCAGGTCTAGGACTGTTGAGATATCTACAGTGTCAGTTTTTCAGGTCTAGGACTGTTCTGATATCTACAGTGTCAGTTTATCAGGTCTAGGACTGTTTAGATATCTTCAGTGTCAGTTTATCAGGTCTAGGACTGTTGAGATATCTTCAGTGTCAGTTTATCAGGTCTAGGACTGTTCTGATATCTATAGTGTCAGTTAATCAGGTCTAGTACTGTTGAGATATCTACAGTGTCAGTTTATCAGGTCTAGGACTGTTGTGATATCTACAGTGTCAGTTTATCAGGTCTAGGACTGTGCTGATATCTATAGTGTCAGTTAATCAGGTCTAGGACTGTTGAGATATCTACAGTGTCAGTTTAGCAGGTCTAGGACTGTTCTGATATCTATAGTGTCAGTTTATCAGGTCTAGGACTGTTGAGATACCACATATAAACACAGGTCTAGGACTGTTGAGATACCAAATATAAACACAGCTAACTGCAAAACCTTAACATTGATGAGGATGCTTTATCAGTCACTGGTTTAGGAAATGTAACCCACATTTATTATCTGATGTATGGATCACACTTGAGAAGCTAAGATACAACTATGGTCGAAATTTGGTAGGTGTAGCATTTATACTTTTGTAGAGACAGAACTAAATGCAAAAGCTTAACGTAAATGCCGCTAGAAAAGTAACTCCTTATTGCCTCATCTCCAAGCCACTAGAAAAGTAACGCCTTATTGCCTCATCTCCAAACCTCCTTTGTAGACAGGACAAAAACGTATAAGAACTGACTTTTGGAACAGGCTAGGCTGGTTACGCTGAAATTATCTTCATTTCTAAATATTTCAATTTCTACTCAAGTTGGACTCAGTGCAACTACCAGATGTTCCCTGTGTCATTTGCAAATGAAATTTACCAGATTAACATTGCCTTTACATATGAATATATATTTTCAGTTTGCGCAAAGAGAGATAACTATTGACATATTTAAACAAAGAAGATACCACTTGTACGAGATGTTTTAGTAGAGGGGTTACCTGATATAACTGACGGAGATGGTTCAGCACTGTTGTCTGCCAAGCTGGGTAAGTCTTTGCCACCCAGATCGTGCCGTGGGATTGCTTGCTGATGGCCTGTTTCTTGCCCTTACCAGGAGTCATCAACTGTTTCTGACGAATGCGAAAGTTGTGTGCAGATGTCATTAAGTACTGGGAAAGCAGGATGAGCTTGTCATCCACTGGTCCTCCCTTTGGCCATGACGCATGCATGATGCTTTCCTTGTTACCCAGCAGGCCCCACAGATGCTCACAGATGTGCGGGCAAATGGGACTGAGCATGAGAGTCTGTGTTTTGATGAAGCTAAACACTAGATCTTCATTCATGCCTTCAAGTTCAAGTTCCCGATACTTATCTCGTAAGGCCTGTAATATGATTATACAACATTTGATATAGCACACTATTTAGCTAGAATACTGAAGGAACAGACACTGTTATACTTGTTTGTGAACATACTCCATTGGTTCCAATAATAGCATAAGTAGGGGGAAGGGATTACTGGAATCAATGAAAACCACCACACTGTATCAGAAAGGAGATGAGTGAATATTGGCTAGCAGACTAATAACCCCACCTACACAATACACAGGAATAGTTCTTTCTAACAAATTTTAAGAAAGGGGTACAATTCAATCAAAAAAGGGCTGGAAGGTGAAAAACGATTGTCCGGTGTACAACTGCTGAGTGTCTATCTATGAAGTATCAATCATAAATCGGCGCAGTACTTTGTGAGGGGTTCCCATATTAGTCGCCTCTTATGATCATGCAGCAAGTAACAGCAGGTATAATCGCTTCTCAATCCCTGACCTGCAGGGGTGTCTATATATGATGAAAGATCAATCAAATTGTTGCAGTATTTAGGAAGGTGTAGTGCAAATAATGTTATGAAACAAAAGGGCATAACTCCATAAGTATGGGAGGTAACTCTATAGTCTATTTACTTGGTTCACATCCACGTAATATAAGCATTATCTGTACCAAGAAGAATTCAAATCTGTGCAGTACTTTGAGAGGAGTAAGCAACATTTTCAACAAATTAGTATTCCATTAATTGGGAAGGTATCTTTAATCTATTTAGTCATTTTTGTACCTCAATAGAAAAATAATTACTCTGTATAATCTCTGTGCTTGTTCAACTCCAATGTCAGGTCTTATATATGTATATTCTAACCAGTTAACACCTCAGGAAGATATTTGACTACCGGTATTCATTAATAGAATCGTACATGGGTGTGGTCCATGGACAGGGAAATCTCAACCCAAGGGTAAGAATTTGGCTGTCTAGCACGAGGCTTTGATTGAAGAAGAACCCTATATACTACAAGGGGATGAGTGCATGATTACTGGAAAATCTTTAAAATGGGAAAATATTGAAAGGGTACTTTTGTCCTCAGAAAAGGAGGGTTTGGGGATTATAAAAGCATAGGCTATCATTGGAACCAATATGGTACATATATAGAAATACTTGTGAAGGGTCACAAAATAAAAACCTCATTTTTCTTCACAATTAGGTCCAACCCTGAGGAGATTCCTGCAATCTCACCTGAAACTCAAAGAATCCCGTACGTAGGGCCTCTTTAAACATCATCTTCTCATAGTGGGTCTTTGTCTCCTGGATAGCCTTGTTCATATCGCTACAAACAAACATTTTACCAATTAACATAGATCATAAAAGAACAGTTGAACTATAACTAGGCTGTGTCTGAGTGTCAACAAGATTCAGGTATGACATGGAAGTCCTTAAACGTATAACAGGAGTTGTGTTGTGAACCAGTTCGCTTATACTAACAATATGCTAATTAAAGTTGAAAATTAAAACACGTCAAAAATTTGAAAAATAAACAAACTTACCCCCCCCCCAGCCATCCCCCATGAAATGGATAGACACATACCATGTTATAAGTTCACTTTGGCCATTCAGATTAGTTTTAAAAGGTTAAAATCCCTCCACCTGTACTAAAGTCATTGCAAAGAATTTCCCCTATTTGGCCGGCTTCTCTGTCCCAATGGGTGCCTTGTTAATACAAAGTATGTCCCTGTTGTACCGTTTATTAGCTAAGGCAGAGCCACAAGCTATTGTCACTACTTCAGCTAAAAAGCTCTTCATATGCAAATATCCATAAACTCACATTTGATAGATTTGCCACCTACCAGAAAGAATATACGTAAATAGAACAAAAACACTTAACAAATTGTTCTACTGCGTTTATTATATAGTACAGACTTTTTTCGTGCAATATTGCAGTTGTATAAAAACAATATCGCACACGTACAATTAACATGCAAATGAGTCTTGTCACCGTGGGAATCGGGTCATATTCCTACGCACTACAACTTCTTTGTAAACAAAATAGCTGACCTAGCTACCGGAGATACTGTATGCATTGATGGCAGAGGCAGGGACACTGTGAAAGAAGTTGTTCCGAGCGGGTTTGACACGATGTATTAGTACATGGAACTGATGTAGAGGTTCATTTAGCGCGTGATCGGTTAGAGACCCCAGACAGTGTCACACACACAATCAATGGTACCGCGTGATCGGTTAGAGACCCCAGACAGTGTCACACACACATTCAATGGCGATCACGTGGAACTGGTCAACTTCATCAGTTCCAGGTTCATGGAAGATTCCACAGTACATGTTCTGGCTCCGAGACAAAGTTCACATTCACCAAGGAGTAACAGTGTCTGGCTCCGTGAAAACATCGAAGTTCACATTCACCAAGGAGTGACAGTGTCTGGCTCCGTGACAGGCGAAAACATTGAATTTCACCAAGGAGTGACAGTGACTCCCAGTCCCAGTAAACTTTTAGCCGACTTTGATGTGTATTGTGATGACCTTTACCTGTGCCGACTTTGATGTGTATTGTGATGACAGTACACAGGCTGTTGTCTCAAAATATGTGACGTCATTAGTATTTTCGTAAACTCTAGGCCTATTGAATGGTTTTAGTACTCTATAAACAAGAGATCCCAGAGGGATCTTGGCGCCAACTTTGTACCATCTTCATTAGTTCTTTGTCAGTTTGATGTTTTCTCTTCTTTCCTCTAATCTGTTTGATCGAGTCATGTTAACAGTAAATGCACCTTGAGGTAACTTTTGATCTAAACTTAATACTGATGGGTATGAAAGCCAACCTTCAAAGTGAGTTTGTCATTTCACATATTTACTAGTACAGTACTTAATGTGAAAAAAATAGAATCGATCATTGCAATATGAGAAAGATCTGTTTAGTTATTCTTTATATCCATTTTCTTTATGATCAGTCTCAAAATATAACATACACAATGAGGGATCAAGGGGAACCTACATATAAAATTTGAGAAATATCCCTTTGGTACTTCTTGACAAATAGCGATAACAAACTTGCCCTATCAAAATCCAAGATGGCTGCCTGTCCGCCATGTTGTTTATCCGATCAGTCTCAAAAGGTGCCCTGCACAGCTTAAGACCAAGGAAAAGCTACATATAAAATTTGAGAAAGACCCCTCTAGTTCTTCCCCAGAAATAGAGATAACAAACTTTCACTACCAAAATCCAAGATGGCTGCCTGTCGGCCATGTTGTTTATCCGATCAGTCTCAAAAGGTGCCCTGCACAGCTTAGGACCAAGGAAAATCTACATATAAAATTTGAGAAAGATCCCTCTGGTACTTCTAAATCCACGATAGCTGCCTGTCGGCCAGGTTGTTTATCTGATCAGTCTCAAAAGTTGCCCTGCACAGCTAGGACCAAGGGGAACCTATATATAAAATTTGAGAAAGATCCCTCTAGTTCTTCCCCAGAAATAGAGATAACAAACTTTCACTATCAAAATCCAAGATGGCTGCCTGTTGGCCATGTTGTTTATCCGATCAGTCTCAAAATTTGCCCTGCACAGACAATGACCAAGGGGAACCTACATATAAAATTTTAAAAAGATCCCTCAGGTACTTCCGGAGAAATAGTGATGACAAACTTTCACTATCAAAATCACAGATTGCTGCCTGTCGGCCATGTTGTTTATCCGATCAGTCTCAAAAGGTGCCCTGCACAGCTTAGGACCAAGGGGAACCTACATATAAAATTTAAGAAAGATCCCACAAGTACTTCTTGAGAAATAGTGATGACAAACTTTCACTATCAAAATCCAAGATGGCTACCTGTCGGCCATGTTGTTTATTTGATCAGTCTCAAAAGTTGCCCTGCACAGCTAGGATCAAGGGGAACCTACATATAAAATTTGAGAAAGATCCCTCTGGTACTTCTTGAGAAATAGCGATAACAAACTTTCACTATCAAAATCCAAGATGGCTGCCTGTCGGCCATGTTGTTTATCCGATCAGTCTCAAAAGTTGCCCTGCACAGCTAAGGACCAAGGGGAACCTACATATAAAATTTGAGAAAGATCCATCTAGCACTTCTCGAGAAATTGAAGAACAAGAATTGTTTAAGGAAGGACGACAGACAGCGGACGACGGACCAAGGACGCAGGGTGATTTGAATAGCCCACCATCAGATGATGGTGGGCTAATAAAAATCATTATTAATGTTGTGATGATACTTATTAAAACATTGATTTATGAAAAGAAACCTAAATGATTGCTTTTTCATTTAAAAGGTTCTCGCGAGAAGTTACTGAACCTATTTTTTGTGGCGTATTGAGCTCTAAACATAATGCATGTCAGTCGTCGCTATGTAGAGGAGACGTATTGTTTCTCAAATTATGTAATAAATAGAATCTAACATTTGTGTTTATGTTATATTGAATTTATTAAACTTGTTTATTAAATATGAAATGAATCAAGTTGTTTAATAAATTCAAGATTACATGAACACTTGTATTAGATCCTCTATTTAATGTTGATAAAAGATGAGTTGGCACAACCTCTGCGCAGCCAGAAAATTCTCTGTCAAGTTATTATACACTGACATGTCTGTAAGTGTCACAAGATTATTTCATTTATTAGCAAGTTTTTTCATATATAAGGATGAAATGTTCATTTTTTTTTAAAACCCAATGAAACAACCACTTGATACATTTTTTGACTTTGTAATTATAATAGCATAGTAAACATATGTTCAGGTTTGATTAACTTTCAAATTACAACTTTTATTATCATAAAACAGTTAATGCATTCAGGAATTATTGTGAGAGTTTATTGGTGAGAGTATTCTTAAGATATTTCCAATAATCTACTTTAAAATTTACGATAAATAGCAGCAAAAAAGGACTGGTTTTGGATTGTTCCTGTGTATTGTCCTAACCCCTTTCTAAACATTATCATTTCCGCCTAAAAAGTGTGCACTATATGCTAATATGTACGGAATAAAACAGATTGATTTTGACCATGTTTAAGCAATTAATTGGCAATGTGTACTTTGTCGCTACAAATCAAACTGCATATTTTAGGCTCCCAAATTCGTACTAAATACACCAAATGCGTACACTAACCCATGTCTGCGTATGTAAGTCTGAATCTAAAAGCTGTTTTGGCCATTTTCATTGAGTTAGTAGATGAGATAGATTGTAAGACAATGTTTAATGATTTATAAATACTAAAGATCACCTGATGAAGACTCTGTCACTTAATGTGTGGTCAGATCCTATCCTCATAGTTCCCTTAGCGGCGAGCATCTCCTTCACCCAATCCATAAAGGTGTACAGGCGCAGCAAGCCAGCTTCTGCCATTATCTCCATGAAGTTGGCATCTTCAATGGTGTCTCCTGCTCCAGCTAGAGCCAGGCGCATACCTACGTAACAAACGTTCAATCAGGACCACACACACTATGTAACAAATATCAAATATGGGTCAAGGTCTTTTGGTTATTTAGAAGTATCTTAACAAGTTGTAGTAGTCCTGCTAATAGGCAAATGGTCATATTATAACCTCTTTAAAGGCCACAAACAAAAACATTATACTTTCTGTAATGCTCAGACAGAAATATAGAACTCACCATCAGCAGAGAACTTTCTGTAATGCTCAGACAGAAATATAGAACTTACCATCAGCAGAGAACTTTTCTGTAATGCTCAGACAGAAATATAGAACTCACCATCAGCAGAGAACTTTCTGTAATGCTCAGACAGAAATATAGAACTTACCATCAGCAGAGAACTTTTCTGTAATGCTCAGACAGAAATATAGAACTCACCATCAGCAGAGAACTTTCTGTAATGCTCAGACAGAAATATAGAACTTACCATCAGCAGAGAACTTTTCTGTAATGCTCAGACAGAAATATAGAACTCACCATNCCAGACAGAAATAAAGAACTTACCATCAGCAGAGAACTTTTCTGTAATGCTCAGACAGACATATAGAACTTACCATCAGCAGAGAACTTTTCTGTAAAGCTCAGACAGAAATATAGAACTCACCATCAGCAGAAAACTTATCTGTAATGCTCAGACAGAAATATAGAACTTACCATCAGCAGGGAACTTTTCTGTAATGCTCAGACAGAAATATAGAACTTACCATCAGCAGAGATCTTTTCTGTAATGCCCAGACAGAAATAAAGAACTTACCATCAGCAGAGAACTTTTCTGTAATGCTCAGACAGAAATATAGAACTCACCATCAGCAGAGAACTTTTTCAGTGCATCTGACAGTGTCAAAAAATTTCCTGTAGACTTGGACATCTGAAACAAAATTCATAAATCTACAGATTTATACACCAAAAGAAGGGAAAAAAGGGGGTGGGATGGGGTGGGTTGGGTTGAGAAAGACATGGGGTTGTTTCAAATACCAACATTTATCAGTTGTCTCTTTATTACTGCATGATTATGAACACCAACTTATAACAGTTCAATACTTGAATTCAAAAAGTCAAACCAAATGTCAAATTGACCTACTTTTTAATCCAGCATCTCAAGATAAACTTGCTAACCAATCTTTACTCCAGGTGAAATAGTAGATAGGTTGGGTCAAAGGTCAAATCATAGGTAACAGTGACCTACTTTTTGTAATCGACACTGTCATTCCAAGATGTACTTGCTGCTGCAGAAATTGGCTATCTTTCATAAAAAGGGACCTTACTCCCATTATAATGACTGGATGAAAATATTAAATCGCAGATGCACAACATCTGTGTGTTGATTACATCATTTAAGTTTCATAAATTCGGCTAAAAATCGTAGGAGTTGTCAGGACAAGATAGTGTGTATAGACAGACAGACAAGCTGATTCCAGTTCCTAACTTTGTTGCTGGGGGATATAATAATGATGATGTCAACAGGCTATAGCATGTATAGCTGATATGCCATCTGGACTTGGTAGAGTTATATCAAGTGGCAGTGCCACACAGTGTTTAATATATTAGAAGACTCTTTAATGCCCAGCTAGGGTGTAGGATAGGGAAATTCCACCCGAGTGGTTTTCAAATTTTCCCTATCCTACCCCCCTGGGCATCAAAGAGTATTTTTCTCTCACTCCAACTACCAGAATAAGCTCAGAAACCATGAACATGCATTTAGACTGGCTACCATTTTTAAACAAGAGGCCCATGGGCCTTAGCGGTCACCTGATATATTTATACAGAGAGTTGAAATTGAAATTGGTTCAGGTGTTTTGGAGAAGAAGTCGAAAAAGTAAATTGTTTACGGACGCACGACGGACAAAAGGCGATCGCAATAGGTCACTTGAGCCTTTGTCTCAGGTGACCTAAAAATCAACTTTTCCCCTGAGCTTTTTTTTAGACGAAAAATGAATCAGTCAGTGAGATTTAGCATGTATTCATTCACCTTTCTTTAGAAACATTTCCATCCTATATATATACTAGGGCTCTGAACAGCTGGCATGTCAGTCATTCTTACCTTCTCTGTATTCAACAGCAGATGTCCATTGGCTCGGATTGCTTTTGGCCATTTTGATCTAATAGTGAAAATTTAATAAACATTAAACATTTTTAATTATTGCACGGCCATGGAAAAGGTCTCAAGGAAGTGCAAAGGGGGTTACTCTATAAACTTTCATCATAAGAGTAAATGAAAACTGGTCTGAGATTCCATTAACTGTAAATTAATTTAAATTCAAATTAAAATTGTGAATTATTATTGTAGTATTGACAACAAGAGAGGCAATGGGCCTGCTATTAAAAAACAACTTGAGTCAATTTTTATATATCTTTTTTTTTGTAATTTGAAAATTGGTTATTTCACTTTCAAGATATATCAGTCTGAAGGCACAATTTGCTTGCCTGGCGAAAACTAATCAGTATTAAAGGCAGCTCTGGGGATTCTCTGTGACGTCATATGTGTGACATATTCAGTGCCGCTTACTATAGAGATACCAACAAGAGGCCCATGGGCCTTAACGGTCACCTGATATATTTATACAGAGAGTTGATTTTTGTTTTTAACATGAACAGAAATATTATTCAAAGTGACAAAAAACAATAAAATCACCTTATTCAATATCTAGCATGCAGATTTAAGACTGAAAAGTATTTGAAACTAGCACCTCTGATTCTAAACAAGGAAAATGAAGAAATTTTATTTTAGCACACAGACTCCATTGGGCCCCACCCTACAGCCCTTGGGGGTAGGGATGGCTCAAA